GTAAAGGGGATGCACTACGGAATTTTACACTTGAAACCTACATGGTTTTAATAACCAATGTCACCCCAATAAATTCAATAAAAAATTAAAATAAAAAATGATATAAAGACATTATGTACATTGCAGCAAAACCCACTTAATACTTAAAACCCACTTAATCCCACTTCTCTTCCCTCTAAGACAAACAGCACAGGGTGTCAGGGGATGAGTATCAAAGAGTGGTGTGTACACAGCTGGAAGGCCAGGCAAGCACTCTGCTGTGACTGTGTCACCAGGGGGAAGGAGGAACACAAAGCAGGGTTACGCTAACAGCAACAGCCTCATCACATTGGGGGAAACACAGTTTACATAGTTTGCCTTATCCAAGCAATCAGTCCAGTTTGACCCAAAGAAATAAAAATGTTTCCTACCTCAAAACCAAGCAAACTATATCAGTGAATAAATACTGATGATGAAATATTATTTTGGTTATGCAGGTAGGATATGAACCTATTTCGTGAAAGTAAATTAAAGAACGTAAGGTTTCCTACCAGATTTTATTTCCAAATGTTTTAACATATAGATAACATAATCAGTTATTCTGATCAGTGTCCTTTAAGTCCCATGTCAAAAATTTCTCTCTAAATTGAGAGCTAGGGAAAGAAAGCATGAACTGGTATGATTTTTTTCATTCAATAATTAGAATCGCACAATTCATCATGTTTCCCTTTTTGCAATGGCTTCTAGGCAAACTCAGAGCTCAAACTTGTACTTAACAGAAGTATTTTTTTAATGTATGGATTTTCTGATGTGGTTAATATCATTTATTGCATAATTATTATTTTCAGTTATATTTTACCCATCTAAGCATGTCTTTATTATAAAATGCTGCCTCTCAAATCCTTTTTGAAAGTAGTTGGCATATAAAGAAATTAAAATCAAGTATTTTCAATAGAAAAATGCTTCCCCCCAAAAGCCCAAAGACTGTGTGTAGGTTTAACAACACTGATCGGCACATACATCTTGTTAAATTTGTCCTTAGGCAATCCTTGCAGAATGACAGCTAGTGCTTAATGCACCACACACACCACATCAGGTTATTAATGGAGACTTTAATCTTGTTCGCAGATTCCCAAACTCATGGAAAATAATTTTATCGAGAAATAATTTTAAAAATTAAAACTGTTTCACCACATGTATCTTTTATGGAAAACTTTTTGGTAAATAGAAGAGAGGAAGAAGCGATTTCTGAAAATCCCACATTTTAGAATGAGTGGACATGACCACTTATTATGCAAAAACTGTTCATACTAGAATTGTAATTCTCAGTTTAGGGAATCGACAAAGGCATAAAAATGCCAATGTTAGGCCAAGGCCTGTCCTACCAGCTATGAATTCTAAGTTCAGTATATTCACATATCACTGATAACCCTCAAGCCTGTGGTATCTCACTTCCATTATACTGACGGTGGTTCACAGTGGCTGTTACGGTTACCCTGACGCCACAATGCGTCTACACCTCAACAGGTCACATCGACAGCTGTCCTAAGACAGCGACACCACCTCTGGGGTGGATCACAGAGGTTCTCTGTAACAGTCTCAGACACACCACTCACTCTGGCAACAAACAAAAGATCAAGCAATCTGTAAGTGGTTCAGGGGCCTAAAAGAGCACCGAAGGGATCAAGGAGCCTATGTTCTGTTTTTCTTCTAACTCAAAGGGGAGAATTGTAGAAATTATTTTACTACATTGCAGTTCAATAGCAAAACAAGAATTACACGTGAACTTTTATGTTAGAGGATGCTTTTCTAGAATAATCATGATGAAAATATAAATTCTCTTTGTATTAAAAAACATGAGTGGATCAATCAAATCCCTCTGCAAAGTAATTTCAATAAGAGGGATCTGGCAAAGGAGAATATCTGACAATGAGGTTGTGAATTTCTATATGCCTCAATATGTACTGATCTAGATGCTTTTTCTTAAACATTATGACATTAAGTAGGTACCAGACTAAACATCTTGTATGAGGGTGGCAAATTTAATGTGAATTTCAGCAAATCACAGCAAAACACAATCCTACCACCAAAAATCAAGGTATATGACAGAAATATAATATATGCATAGAATAATTAGCTAAACACACCAAATAAAGTGAGAGGTATGGTTAATTGCCCTTATTTGCATTATTATACCTTATCATTTCTTCATAAAACAGAAATTGCTTGAATAACATCTAACCTATAATAATCATATAGCATATTCACCGAAAAGGACTTCCTAGTTGATATATATGATTCACCTTATGGTAGGTAACTATACTTTATAATAACGATTTTATTATCAATATGCAATATATTACTCGTTTAGAAAGGCCAAAAGTATATTGTATGTTTAGTATACAGTTTTTAGCACACTGTGTGCATTTAAGAATCTGATGGAAGGAAAGCGGCAAACAATGGCGTGGATTCCAGGAGAGCCGTGGTCGCCTCTGGTTAAGTATTTCAACCAGTCCTTTCTACAAAATGGCCTCCTTTGCTAACGGAAGCAGCCACGCACGAGCTGAAAGTCAAAGCTCTCTGGAACCAAAATAAAAAATTATACAACCCAATATTTAAGGCCCCTCTGTTTGTTCTGCATCAAACCACAAAATAGTGATATGGACAAAAAATCTATTTTAAAAAGTATATGCCTGCTTTGTTCTTTGACTCCTGGGAATGGAATTCAGGACTTAAAAGGCATTATACATTAGATTCTTTAGAGCACAACCATGACAAGGTATATTTGGGAAATTTAGGAGTTACCTGGAGGTAACTTTAAAATATCCTCAATGAATGACCAAAAATAAATACAAAATATTACCATTTTGGCATACATAATAAGATTTTTTAAAATATAACTTATTGATAAAGTGTTTACAAATATATTCTAAAAATTAACTAAGCATATCTTATAAAGTCATCATTTTCACTTTGATGAAGAAAGCATTTGGCCCGTTTCCATTGCTTCCAAGCATTCCCAGGACAGCAATTCCAATTGTTTCAAGACAGACTCAAAATATGAGAAATATAATCCTGTGCTACAGCATTTGAAGGAGTCCATGGTCCTCATACTTAATGTTTCAATTAGAAGAAATTCAATTAATAAGCTTATTATACTCTCCCTGTGGCTTAATTATAAGTAACAACTCTAACATTTCCCTTTTGTTATCATTGGGTGAACCGCACCCTATATATGGCAGATACAACATATGCCAAAATCACAAAGATTTCCTCTGAATTTGGCCGCCACTCGTGTCAGCTTTCCACAGCAGCACGGAAACAGTAGTAAGTTATATAAATTAATGGATTTTATTGTATCAATCATTCAACTCTACTAGGCAAATAGACACTACACTGACAACTCAAACATCACAGAATACAATAGTAGACTTAGCATCATCATTGAAGGAGAAATTAATTTTGAAAATCTTCTTAATAAATTGTATGGCTAACAATCAAAAGATCAGCATAGATTTTATAAAAACTCTAATGAGGCTGGTGCCAAAAATCTAACACACGATTTTACTAGGAACCACCTGACTATTCTGGTACTATGGCTACAATAATGACTACATTCTTAGTCAGCAAACCCCATAAAACAAATTGAAAAATAATTTTCCTGTAAATGTAGATTATTGATAAAAAAAATAAAGTAAAAGTCTGTGCTGAGAATATCTATATTGCCCAGTCATTATCCAAAAGTAAAAGACTCAAGGTCAAATGAAAAATAAACAATAACTCCCATTCTTTGCTTTACCGCCTCCCACCCTCCACTCAAGAAATTAACATCTACTTCATCAGTAGTATTTTCATGTTTAAATCATTAGAAAATTGTTTAAGCACATATTAAAACAAATAGGAGATTTATTTCATTGTTTAAAAATTATGTTATTTGGGGAGGAAGAGTAACTAGGAAGAAGCTTATGTGTGGTATGGGTAATATGGTTAGATTTCAATGGGAAAAGAGCTATTTAAACCTAGTATGTTATATGCATTTATTGGAAGAGAAAACGATATTTTTATTGTTATCAATTGCTCTTCAATTTCTCTTTAATAAAATTTCACAGCAATCTCCTCGAGAGAATATACTAAAGGCCTTTGATTATATATAGGGTGGGGCAAAAGTAGGTTTACAGTTGTGAACAGGCGAAACAGTTTATTCTTGTGTTATTATTGATTAATTATTGTATTACTTTCCACACAAACAACTGTAAAGCTACTTCTGCCCCACCCTGCATGCCCTAAAGAATGTATTGTACTACAAAGATACACGCTCAGTAAGACTTTTTTCATCTGAAATTTATAAAGATAATTTTCCATGCTGACAGCGCACATTTCATCCATAAGTTTCAAGAGTCAAATGCTACCACAGCTGGGGGTTATTCTGCCAAATGGCCTCCAACAGGGACCACAGAGATGGAGGCTGGGAGGCATGTGTTCCGTGCACGAAGGGAAAGCAACAGACCTGATGGGAAAGAGCCCTTCGCTGGAGTCATTTTTATCAATTACCATCTGAGTGATCTAATCAAACATAGAGTCTAATGAAAAAAAGCATCACTAGGAAGCAAAAGCAAATTTTAAATCAGCTGCTTGATTACCTGCAGAGATTAAAACAAAAAGCCAGGAGTGAGGCTGATATATTTCATAGGGATTTGCTAAGGCTGAGGGGAGGGGGAAGGGGCAGCTACCTTTAAAAAAATCCATCATGAAAGGAACTGAGACAAGATTATAAAAAAGGGGCCAAGTTATAGCGCACCATGGGATTTTTAATCTGGCTACCTGTGGTTTCTGTAGTTAAAGCCTCATTCATCCCTCAAACGAGGAGGGGGGCGGAGGAAAGAAAACAAAAAAAAAATCACATTTATATGTCAGTTTTGCAAATGATCAAACAGCGTGCACCAACAAGAATCATAAGAGAACATTAAACGCTGATGACTTTTTAAAAGATGCCCGTCCTATGAAATGGTATTGATAATTACCTGTGAATCTCGCTTCCTGAACTCTTGAATTTGATTTTCGTGCTCCATATTGGCAGCGCGGAGCTGTTTCTCCAGGTTTTCAATTTCCCGTTCATGGTCCCGGACTAGGCTCCCCTTCTCTGCGTTGTGCTGCTGTAATAGGTGCGTCTTCTCCTGTTCGTGCTCCAGCTTCAGCTCTACTATCTGATTGGACAATGAGGAGGACAGTTCATCAACAGAACATCCTTGTCGTCATGACAACTCACGGACAGCTTAATTTTTCTCTAATTTGTCCAAGTTGAAAATTTTATTTTTGCGTCATTATTACCTCACCTTTGAATACTCTCATTTGGGGGGGGAGGGGGTTACCCAAATCTCCTAATATTCACGAATATTCAAGACAGTTGGGCATATTCAGTAAATCCTTCAGCAATCTGTTGACACAAACGCCTGAACATTGAAAAAAAAAATTATGTTGAATGCTAGGTATTTCCTCCCCACGAATTCGGATATTACTGATCAGCAATGGTTATAAATGGTTAATAGTTAGTACGCTTTGCTTTTCGCTTAAATATATACACGTACGAGCAGCAATGAAATCGGTCCATTTTCTTTATGATTTTCAAATAAAAGGTCGGAGCTAAATACGCATCTGGATTATTGTATATACAGTTGTCTTTCTAGAAATAAAATGATAAATTTCAAAGCTCTATTATCTCGTTGTCAGCCACGGTACACCAACACAAACAGATGTTATGTGCTCCAGGAGGGCACCTGCTGTGCCGCAAGCTTGCGCCATGATTTCAGAAAAAGCATTCTATTCTCAGGATCCTTTCCCAGTCCACTCCACACTGGAGACTGTGACCTTGGCCAGTCTGAGCCTCTCCCTGCAGGCCTGAATGGCAGCCGGAGACCAAGGGCCTGGTGGCCGCAGCTTTGATACTAATCCTCCCAGACTGCGCACAATGGCACCCTACCTGGCCTGCGAACTATAGGCAGCCAGCTGCCTTTGAAGCAGGTGGTGAAAAGGGGCTGCAGGCAGCCAGCTTCCCCAGGGAGCTCCGGGCCACACAGCTGCTAAGAACAGTCACTTGGACTTTTCTTCAGTTTTGGTGGATTTCAGTGGAAAAAACTGCCGTTATCTAGAATATGTTGTGTTATTTTCGGCGTGAGAATCCATCTTCAAAAAAGCTAACAGTAGGAGCCTGCTCCAAATCGATCCTGTCTCGTGCGCTGAATCACCAGCCTACCTTATCTTAAAGCTATAGCAGTCATTTCTCCAGGCACGCATGCCGCACTCGATTTCAGAAGTGATTTGCTTCTGAGATTTACAGTTCTCACCCTCTACTTGCAAATTAAGAATCAAAACACAACTTAAATTTGCTTTTAGTTTAAACACAGGTTTAAAATTTGTTTCCTGATTGTGATTTGTAATGCTTCTTAGAGAACTGAGAATTCAACCATACATTTTTTATTATACTATTTAGAAGAAAGAAAAGTATACTACCTCTTGAATATATATGCTTATCAGAACAAAACAATGTATAAAACAATATGAAAAAAGTTATTTTGCATCTGAGAATAAAGATGCATTCTAGTGAATTTATGTTTATTTAAACACTATATCAAGTAGTAAAGAAAAGTTTTCTCTGATTATTTAAAATAAATGTGCATGTTTTATTCTGTGGGTCATACAACTACAATGTTAATCTCAACAAAAGAGAGAATTTAAAAATTTATTGATATTACCGCATTTTTTTCAGGCAGCCAAGTGTATGAATTATTGAGTAAATGCTTTTAGTCCTTGGGCGCATTATTTTTATTGAGTGTTATGCTATTAAGCATCATTATAACAAAATTATAAATTTTACTGAAAATCATTTAAGTATGTTACACACTGAAAGGAAATAAAAGTGGAAAGTTCTACTATGACCTCAAAAAGCCTCAGAAAAACTGGGAGAATGGGTATGATTTAAAACTGACAGATTCAATACTTTAGGGAAAAGTAACCAACTGACCTATAATTAAGGCACAAGAATTACAGATTCTCCCCCACCCCCCAAGAGAAGACACATGACCGGAAGTTGTTGTGAGGTCATTAGTAATGGTGCCATCTCTCTCCCGGCTTTGGGGATAAGGCACTTTCAGAATAACTTTCTGAGCCAGTTAAAGAGTTCTTTCTAACAGACAGATCGATGGCCCTGCCCATATTCAAATTTGAGTCTATTCTAAAAAATCAGGAGTAAAGGAAATAATAGATAATGGAATTTCAACCTAAACATGGATGGTCATAAATTATTATTTGTTTGTTATTTTGTCAAGGCCTGTTGTTCAGTGATGCTAATTAATGAATAAATCTCCAAGTTGCTGGAGCCTTTTAAAGTCAAATAGCTCAGGCTTGTCTTCTTGAACCAACACTGCTTGGCCAACTTCTAAATGCTATGAGCCCTTTCTGGTCTTTGCCTAGGTTTCTTCACTGTCAGGATCTTCTGGCAGGTATGTCTCCTCCTGATAAATGGGAGAGTCCAGGAGAAAAACCCAAATGTTCTGGAAACATCCTGATGATGGATTCATAATTACAAAGGCCATCATGAAGGTGGATCTAAGTTTAAATTCAAGGTCTTAGTTGTTCCTGGGCCCTTTCATAGATGGAAATGTTAAAAGAATACTTGGATTTCCCAGTTTGGTCCTTTACTTATGGGCACATCTCGAAGGTAAACAGGAACTAGCATATAGCCTCCTTACCTCGGACTACTAGGCACTTCTGGTTAACTGACAATAATTTTTAAAGGACTCAGAGGTGACCAGGAGGTGGTGAATCATGGAAAATGCAGAGGATGTAAAAACAGACATCATCCACAAGGATGAATGTTGAGTGGCTAATGTGGTCTCTAAGACAAGGTGGTCCAGAGCCTACAATATATGCTACAGGGGAAACAGGATGCACCATCACCACAGAACCTGCTTAGTTAAGGCTGGCTAAAGACATCCCAGTAATATAGGAGGAATAGTTTCAAGTTCCCTAATCCAAAAGCACTGAGTGTGGGCCAGGTAACTATACTTGCAGTGCCCACTCTACAGGCACTAAAGCAGATTACTATGTCTTCCAGGGACAAGGAAAGTGATGAGCCCTCACCTGCAAGCATCTGGCAATCCCTTTAGATACTGAGCTTGATGGCTTGGTGGCTGGGGTTTGGACGAGAAATTGTCATCTTTGTAGGTCAGAATAGAAAGCAAAGAAGGGTCCTGCTCCATCTACTATGCTACCCATCACACACCCTGAACGTGAAGTTCAAGAGTAAAGCTCTGGAGTTCTGAAGTCCCTGCCAGCACAGCTCTCTATCCCAGACAAAATCACTTCGCAGTCTTGATGATGATGTTCCCATTCCTACAGAGGCTTCACGGAAGTGCCAAGGGCAGGGGCACATTCCAGGCCCCGAGAAAGACCAAGGTGGCCCTGCTAGATACCCAAGCCTCTGAGGTCTTGGAATATATATTTTAAATCCTGGTAGCTCTTTTACAGTAAAACTGGTGCTAGCAAATATGGCCTGAACATGTTTTAATAATCTCATACAGAAAAAGAAAAAGGGATGGAATGAATCATTACTTCTCAGTACACAACACATCCACTAATATCCCTCAATGTCCGAAATTCTGAAACCAGAAACAAATAACAGAAGTGCTAGAGAGTACCCAACGCACAAAAAAGGAAAATTATGGTGCAAAATACTAACGAAAATACGCTCAAATGTACCAAATGATTAAGTCTATATTCTACAAGTCTTGGTATAATGGGTTAAAGACCTAATGAATGTAAATATGAAAGTTGAAGAGCTTGGAGTGATTTAGAGGCTCCTGAGTACAACATTAATCTCAATCAGGAATCTTTCCTATAACACTCTGATAGTCGGTCACTCAGCTGCTGCTGGACTGGTTTTAGCAATAAGGCAACAACCTTAGACCAAGGCAACCTGTGCCTCATGCTGAACACACCTGGCACTGGAACTCCTGGGTAAAGATAGCAGGGGAAGCTGAAAACTGTAAAAAGGAAAAAAAACACAGATGTTAAAAACAAAACAAGAGAGCACTCACTGGCAGCAACCAAACAAGGAAAGAGGATTATCTTGGCCGTAAATTTCAAAAGGCGGTAGTCAAGGAAAGAAAGAGAAGGTTCTGGCATGGTTTGGTAAGACCTACTATTCTGTCTCCATCCCCCAGAGGTAGAACTGCTAAGTTGAAATAATGGTAGGGAATATTCTCTAACACCCCAGCTTTGGAGAGAAATAGACTGAAGATCAATCATTCCCTTTTCCCTGTTGTGCCGGGAAATAGGAGGGTAATTGCATGGGATAGACATGGCTGCTAGAAAGAGATGAATAAAACTGGGAAAGTGAAAAACTAGGGCTTATTCTTCCTGATAGAATCATGGGCTTCAAAGCTCCCATAAAAAAGAAAAAACCCTCCGACACAGAGCACAAACCCTGGTGTAGGACATCAATAAAATGTTAAGAGAGCAGATATTAGCTTCTCTAACAGAAGTTGCTCAGAGCTCCAAGTTCTCCTCCTCCATCCTTATAACCTCAAGCTATAGAAAAGTAAATGCAACAAAATACCCACGCCCTCAAGCTGAGGCTCGGAGGAAGATAAAGACAGAAAAGGAGTCCCAGAGAATTCAGGCATATTATATCAGAACAAGTAGTAGATTTGGACAGAGCTGCGCACATTAAGCCCAAGCAAGATGAAGGAAAAAGTATCTGGACAACTGTAAATTTATTACATCGGGGGGAAAAATGAACTGAGCAAAAAAAGGGAGGAAAGAAGGAAGGCTGGCCCATCATTCTGGAAGGAAGGAAAACATACCTTAAAAATCAGAAACGAGTAGAGTGATAGGATAACTTATTAAGGACGCAAGTGCAATGAAAGAGAACTCCAAGACGGAAAGATAAAACAACAAACCAAGGATTAAAATAACTCCATCACAGAATTCCAAAGTAGGAACAATAATAAGCTGAATAAACGTGGCTGAAAATCTAATCACTGACATAGACAAAAGACTTGAGAGAATCATAGTAAAGGCCCAAGAAGGAGGTGAGAAGATGAAGTAGAAAGAAAATAGAAAAAGGAAATCTGTGTATACATAGATATGGTATCAGAAAATTTCTCTGAAATGAATGGAGAGATGAATGTGTGTACCAAAGACGTAT